ATGAATAAAAAAACACAATGTCTTCACAAAAGAATTCTTTCTTTTTTTTAAATTTTCATTGATCAAATACAATCTTATCCATCATGTTAACTATTCCCACCCCACCCCCCTTCACATGATATACATAGTTTTACAGGTAAAACAAAAAAGACAAACAGTGAAATTTAGCATGAACAAATCATTGTTTGGTTTTTCAGTTTTATAAATCAATAAAAAGAGTTTCACAATATAAAAACAATAATAAAGAGTTAAATTGATGACTTATAAGAACACTTATTTCATAGTTATTTAACGTGCAATGATAAGAATAATTTTCAGTTAAGTTAATGAATTATTTTTAAAGCAATACACAGATACACTTGGTATTATTTGGCTTGTATTTTCCCATTGAGGTTTAAGACTGCAATTGATCAGTCTGTGGTTATCAGAACTCAGTAGCTAAGTGGATAACGCGATGACGTTTGAAGCGAATGATAATGGGTTCGAGTCCCAGAGTGAACATTAACTCGGAGATGCAGGTACATCCGGATGACAAGTCCCAAACAGGACGAAACGCGCGTCCTGAATTCTACTGCTAGCCACTATCCATCATTACTTACAAAAATACACAGATATTTGCAAAAAAGTCCTATATTGAGAAATTACTTACGTAAACTTTAGATAAACGTTTATATTTCTCATTTTATATAAACTAGTTCTGGTTATTATCTAAAAGTATGCATGTTGTGTTTAGACTTATATTTTGTTTTGAATTTAATACTAACATGCTATGAAAAATAATTTTTTTCCAAAAAAGGTATAAGATGACCCACTATTTCATGAATCTGAAATGTTTACCAAGAGGTAGTAAGATATGAACAGTTTGTTCTGAATAAGCCTAAACAAAAAACCTTTTTTGTAAATATTTATTTTCTAAATTAGAAAAAAAGATTAGTTTACAGTTAAATTTTACAAGGTCAAATGTCTGTGTAACACATTGAGACAAAGTCATGTATATAGCCACGGAGAATGAAAATTAAAGACCATCATTTAGCTTTTGATTCAAGTAGGTGGTTACTGATGAAAATCACTTACATGTAGCACAAGTTTTATAGATCTAAATGTATCTATTTATCAATGTATAGGTATGATATGTAGAGTGATTTGCAGTGAATTGAACTTGTCAAATACTGTATTATTTTTTCTGAATGTATATATGTTTGGTATGTCTGAGAAATCCTATAAATTATAACCATTGATACTATTAAATCCACTCCATCTATTGCTCAGCTGTTAAATGATAAATAAACAATGCAGTTGAAAAACTACAATTTAGCAATATTCTTATTTAAAAAGATGATCTGTACATACTGAATAACTAACTGTTCAAATAAATAAGGGAGTTCTAGTGAGAAGCCATGACCAGTGGAGTTCAACCAGGTCTGTTGTGAGATATCAGCTCACTGAAGACAATGGTATACGGTAGCGCAACTTCGTGGATTGGTTGAAGCTAGACATTAACACCACAGGATGCCGGCTCAGTGGTCTAGTTGGTTAAGCACTTAGCGCGAGACTGATAGGTCTGTTAATGACCTCCCTTCAGACGTAAATAATTTAAGACATTAAAGAGGAAGAAGGTATTTGTAAAATCTCACCGAATGAATACGTAGTAATTCCAAAGTTTTCGCCTGGCAATCTGGTCTAAGCTTTTTCTAGGAAATTCAGATTATGCTCTAGTATGAGCGCGTATTTGTCTGCGTCTTACTGGACGTAGGAAAGACGCTGCAAGGAAACTTCTTAGGGGCCTACTTAATGATAGTCAAGCTAAGAGTATATTTCAGGAACAACTAGAAAAACAGTTAGGCAGCCATGTAAGTGATGCCCACCCCGAGGCAGCTTGGAATGATGTCCGAAAAGCTGTGAAAACAGCAATGGTATCTGTTGATACGGTAAGCCATAAGGTCAGGGAGAAATGCTGGATCTCAGCAGCGTCGACCGCACTGATAGATGCCAGAAAACTCATCCCATCTGGCTCTGAACATGACGAAGAGTGGAATCAGCATAGGCGCAGGTTGATAAGAAGCCTACGCAATGGTCCCGTATAGTGGTGGGTAGCGAAAGCAAAAGACATGGAAAAGACAGAGGAAAAAAGCTACAGGAAATCTGAAGTGAGGGAGAGCAACAGGCCCTGACAGGTTTTCTCCTGAGATTTCTAAGGAGAGCGATCCAGTATTAGTAGTGAGATTGACTAGGGTCTTAGGTAGAATCTGAGAACTGGACGTAATCCCATCTGACTGGTCCCAATCACTAAGTGTGCCACTTTATAAGAAAGGAAAAAAATCAATTTGACTATCAGTGTCTAAAATAATGGCTTCAATAATACATCGATGCCTTACCAAAGTTCGTGAAGAGCAGACTAGAGAAAACCAGGCTGGTTTACGGCCTGCACGTGGTTGTATAGATCAGATATTCACACTACGTCAGGTTCTAGAACACAGACACACATTCAGACGCCCCACAATCGTAGTATTTCTCGACCTTAGGGCGGCATTCGACTCTGTTGATCGTGAGGTTCTGTGGCAGTGTTTGTCACTGAAAGGAGTACCAAGGAAGAACATTAACCTTATAAAGGCTCTCTACTCGAACACAACTGACCGAATGAGAGCTTATGGTCAACTGTCATCAGAATTGATTACATCAAGTGGTGTTCGTCAGGGCTGTCCACTCTCTCCATTCTTCTTCAACTTTGTCGTTGATGTGCTTCTAGAGATGACACTTTCCTCATCTGAATTTCCAAGAGTTGAACTTTTACCAGGAGATTTACTTTTTGACTTAGAATATGCCGATTACATAGTCCTATTTAATGAAGATGCTGACAAAATGCAGAGTATTCTGACCACTCTAAGCAACAATGCAAGCATGTTCGGGACGCGATTCTCCCCCTCGAAATGCGAAATCTTGCTTCAGGATTGGGTTGCATCGACACCCGAACTAGTGATAGGGAATGAAGTAGTTGAGCCTGTCGACCGCTTCACTTATCTTGGAAGTCTCATCAGCCCTTGTGGTCTGGTGTGTGACGAAATCTCAGCACAGATACAGAAGGCTCGACTAGCTTTTACCAACTTACGTCATTTATGGCGTAGGCGAGATATCCGTCTATCAACCAAAGGACGTGTTTACTGCGCAGCAGTTCGTTCTACCTCACTCTATGGCAGTGAAACATGGCCGGTAAGAGTAGAGGATATTCGTAGGTTACTAGTATTCGATCATACGTGTCTTCGAAACATTGCTCGTATATCTTGGGACCATCAAGTAAGTAACTCAGTTGTTAGGAAACGGGTACTAGGTAAGGATGGCAAATCAATTGATGTAGTAGTAAAACTGTATCAGTTAAGATGGCTGGAACATGTGTTACGTATGCCCAACGACCGACTGCCCCGACGTGCGATGTTTTCTGATGTAGGAGCAGGTTCGAAGAAAGCTAGGGGAGGCTAGACCAAAACATGGCACAAATCCATGAAGTCACTGACAAGTGGACTGAGCCATGTTGGTAGGTATAAACTACCTGGTTGGGATCCGCGAGACGATAGCAACTGATGGTTAGAGACCTTGAATGACAAAGCTCAAAATCGTTTGCAATGGCGCAAGTGCATCCACTCTTTGTGTTCTCCCAAATTCTAATCTTCTGAGTTTGTCATGTCCCTTTTCTCCTATTTCCAAATTTATTTCACTGTATTATACTCCTTGAATAGCATCTTCAAACCCTAATCTTTCCGATTACTGCTTATACTCTTACTACCTCTACCACTGCGGGATTTGAATCGGCAACTGCATCTCTGTGCTAATGTGATATGACAACTCAAACTGATGTACGTACTTACGAAGTTCTACGTTGTTACTGACTGACTTTTCCAGGAAATATAATGAAACAACAAAATTATCGAATATAAATACATACATAGTTCTCCGGTCAAGTTTTTACTAAATAGGTCATCCAATCGACATTAACAATGTTCAAAGTAGGTATTTGCTATAGTGCGTAAGAGACATGTTAATATAACAGATTGTGTATATTCGCAAGTGGATCTGAGGTGTGAGAAATTTCATTCATTATATATTGCCTCTGGTCGGTGAATTCTCAAGAAAATATACAAATTTTATATATGATATGAATCAAATATGTCACAGCATGTATAAAATGAAGACAAATAAACAGAATAAAAATGAAGGTATAGATGTTTGTGTTATTTTTATTGTTCCAGTTAATTGTTTAATATATTCAGATAAAACAACTACTTAGAACAGTTGAATGTAATTGTTTTTATTAAGATAATAAGTAATAAACAAGATGGAATAAGAAGTTCAGGTTTATTTATTAATTATTAGTTGCCATGGGACAGCTAATTGTATTCCATCTCCTATTAATACTATTTGAATTTGTCCATATGTGTAGGCCTTAAGCTGCTAGTCCTTCTTTGGAAGAATTAAAATTTTTTTGGACGATTATTGTGCCACTGAAATCAATATTGAATTTATCATTGTTAAATATGAGTAATAGAATAAGATAGAATACTGATTAGATCTTATTTATATACTACTTATAATATGTTAAGTTTACTACAACCTTAATAGTTCTTCAAACATGAGTGAATAAACGTCATGGCTGTAACTTATGTCCATTGAAATTACACTAATACATAATCGGTGAAAAAGTCATACATTACAGTGATAATCTATAAAATATAAACTAACAAACGAATAGTTATACAACCATGTACATGAAATAGTTGGCTCTTTGTTTAATATATTGATTAAGAGAGTAGTGTACTGTTTAAAATGAGAAAATTTACCTTTATATAACGAAGAATTTATTATCATTTCGAAAATGCTAAATTTCACTTGGAAATATAAGGGAAAAAATGACTACATATAATCATACTACCATATTTCTCACATTCACATATTATAATAACAAGTTGGCATTGATAATAACACAAAATAACTAACTGTTTAACACTTACGCTGTAAAGATTTGCAAAACGTCTAGGTCGAGATCGACTTGGCTTTGAAACATTTTGATTGGATAATGCACTTGTAGAACTGGACTCGACAATATGACGGCTTTGAAGTGTTGACAATGATGATATAGTCAAGTTGGAATTGGAGCGCAGACCAATCAACGGAATGTTTTGACTACTTTGATGTAATTTATGCGAGCCAATTATCGATGATGATGACAAACTTGTTTTGGATGTAAGCAGAGAATTTATTGCATTATTTTGACAAGATTGTTTACTAGTATTATATTGCTTGTTCTTAACATTAAGAAATAACAATAAATATGAATTTTATAATTTGTCAAAATAAAATAAAATACTTTTTAATAAAATACACTAAGATATAGAAAGGTTGTGAAAACAAGTATCCATTAAAGACTAATAGATAGAAAATGAAACCAGTAGAGTAGTCACCGTTGGGGAGTTAAAAAATAAATTTCATCAAAGTCAAACACAGAAAACGCCAGAAAATGTTTTGCCCAATCAGAATTGAATATACGCTTCTCAGAAATCAGTCAGTCAGTCAGCTACAACGTAGGACCAGACACATATGTGCATCCGTCCAAGTTGCCATACCTCATTAGTACAACAACATGAACACTGGATTCATAGAAGTAGTTAGTTCAGTAGTGGTAATAAATAAAAGGAAGATTGCATAAAAGGACATAGTACAGGAAGAAAGAATTAGTTCGTAGAAAGAAAGATAAGAAGTGATTTTAATCTCATAGTTTAAGGGAAGACAAAGAGTATATACACCGACACCATTGTGATCGATTCTGAGCCCCCAAATGCCGTGGTACGGCCGAGAGTGAGGAGAGTCCGCTCTCCCTCTCGAAATGCTCTCACATGGCCACACGTATATAGCCTCTGCCAGGGAAGTCCTACTCACTGCCTTCTCATGGCATTACTGTTGTTTACGAAATTGAGAGGACGAAAAGCGAACGTCCGGCGCTTTAACCGGGTTGGTGGACATGGAGAGTCCACCTAGGGGAGTTAGAAAAACCCGATTCCAAACCAATGGTGCACATAAGCTCCAGAATCCTGAGGGAACAAATGGCGTAGGAACCAATCGTGGGTCACCGGCTACGATGGGACTGCATCTCCTTACGATGCTTCACTGCCTTGTAGATCAGACTTTCAGGTCGAAGGCTCCGGGTGTGACCCCCTAAGAAAACTACCTGCTTCAGTTTGGGCACCCGGACAGTATCACAGCCCTCACACCAATGAAGTGACTTGTGTGGCGCATATGTATTTGGTGCCTCCTTGTACCAATATCTATGTGTTAAAATAAATAAATAATAATACATGTCACTCACAGTCTCCAACCATTGGTTACGATAGTCACGCGGACCCCAACCAAGTAGTTTGCATCTACCAACATGGCTCAGACTAGAATTTAGTGACTTCAAGCATTGATGCCACGTTTTGGTTTGGCTTCCTCTAACTTTCTTCCAACCATCCCCAACACTAGTCAGCATTGCGCGTCGTGGTAATTCGTGTTCAGGCATACGTAACACGTGGCCCAACCATCTCAGTCGATGAAGATTTACAACCTCATCAACTGATTTACTATCATTCCCTAATACCCTACGTCTAACCTCACTATTACTTACCCAGTGAACCCAGTAGATGCAAGCAATATTTCTAAGGCATCTGCGGTCAAACACTAGTAGCTTACGAGTATCTTCTACTCTTAATGGCCATGTTTCGCAGCCGTAAAGTAGAACAGAACGAACTGCTGCGCAGTATACTCGTCCCTTAATTGATAGACGGATATCTCACCTTCGCCATAGGCTCGTCAGACTTCCAAGATAAGTGTTGTCAACGCGTTCGACTACTTCACTCCCTATCCTTAGTTCAGGTGTTGATACAGGCCAGTTCTGAAGCAAAAATTCACACTTAGAGGGGAGAAGCGCATCCCGAACATTCTGACATTGTTGCTCAGTGCTACCAAAAGACTCTGCATTTTATCAGCGTCTTCACTAAACAGCACTATATCTGCGTATTCTAAGTCGATAATTGAACAAAAGAGAAAAGAAGTGGAGTGTAAGGGCTTAATTCGAAGACTAGTTTGTGTACAGAAAATCGAGAGTATTTATAAAGTAGCATGTGTTCTTGGTCTTTTAGAAATTTCTAGAAAAATAATATAGTAATGGTATAATTAATTATCCAATCAAAAACGTAACATGTATTCGCCCATTATTCTCTGCTTCTCAGAAATATGTAGAAAATGGGCGATTACATGTTACGTTTTTGATTGGATAACTAATTATACCATTACTATATTATTTTTCTAGAAATTTCTAAAAGACCAAGAACACATGCTACTTTATAAATACTCTCGATTTTCTGTACACAAACTAGTCTTCGAATAAAGCCCTTACACTTATTTTATCTTTTGTTCGACTTAACGTACAGAAGTAGTCTGGGGTTGTAGGATGCGGTTAGGAAGTTATTAATAAGCATTTCCAGTAGCAGGCTTATCAGTCACGAACTTACATCTCGAAAGTTTACCACATAGAATATCGTGTGAATTAATCGAAAATACTGACAATGTCGTAAATCGGCGTATTAACTGTGTCTAATTGTAAATCCGTTTGATATGCTACCAAGAACATTGACCGACTGACATCACCAGCCACTATGCTTGTACACTAAACAACACAGTATTGTAGTGACCTACTTTTATCAAGAGAACGCGATTGGTTTAATGGAAACAATTTTTATAACCAATTGTACCAGTGATTGTTTTACCGTATTTGTTTATTTAACTGTACTAAAGACATTCTTCCTTCCTTTGATTGTAACCTTGCACGCACTTACGTTTGCTCAGTGATTCCGTTTGTACTCTTTTGGCACGATCTCGGTATTCTTTCGATACCAGGGGATTGCCAACAAATGTATATCGCTACAACTTCCAATCGCCTTCTGATATCTGGTACGCGATCTTCTTGTAGTGGTGATCATAGTCGACCGCGACTCGACGCCACGCTACAGTACAAAGACTCTCATAGGATGACCACAGTAACGAAAGCAAGATGGTTGTTAACTGAGACAATACATTTTACTTAGGTAATTCTACTTGTACATAATCAATAAAGTTGTTTCTAACATACAATAACAATGATAGCGCACTTATTCAGTTGTAAAATATAAATAGCTGCTAGCATTCGAAACAAGTGGTTTATATATATATAGTATAAGACCACGTTATTAGTATGGACCTGGAATTAAAAGTTTAAGGCATGGCCTTAATTTATCTTAATTGACCTTTTAATCATCACGGGAAAAAAACATTTACATATGTTATTTAGAACAGAAAAGGACGGAAAGAACACGAAATATAGCACTATAAACAAACATGTAAAAACTGCTATATCACGAAATTAATTCTGTGAGATATAATTATCATACATACCAGATAAACATTCACATGATCTCCAGTATTCCATTCTATTAAAAACTCGTGCAATGAATTAATATTTGAGGCTTATATTCACGTCAATGAGACGTACAGTCAACTTCCTAGTCCATAACAGCAACAGAAACGAATCACAAATTACGGTGATAATCATATATATATATATATATATATATATATATATATATATATATATATATATATAAGCCGTCTGTGGTAGCCGAGGCTGTTCTGTTCAATCTGGTAAACTGGTGACGACATCCATGAGATAATTCCGCCAGTTGATTTATGCCCACTTCCCATCTACAGCATTTTAACTCGGAATTCGAACAAACTCAGAGTTAAAGGAATGTTACAGTTTCCAGTTATCGAAGAAAAACGTCGAATCTTGAGGTTAGGCACCAGGTATCAAAATGAAGGACAACATGGCACTTAACGAACTGGATACCTGATCTACAGGAAGTAGTTTCTACGTGTTGACAAACAGGCTACTATAAATGGGACTATTAGCAGAAAGGTTTTAAGGTTTTTAAAACGGCTACGTGTTAGCGAGATATAGATTGGAATATAGCATATTCCGTGTAGGGTTGTGTTCGACAACGCTAACTCATCACTTCTTAGCCAGAGATATGCAATACTTATACTTGGAGAAGATTCTAAAATGTTATCATGTTAAAAACCATAAATATACTAACGTTTTACTTACTGTGATTCTACTCCCATTCAACCTCGTTATTTGGAATATAACTACGTTCCTGCTTAACCATGTTCTGATTTGGGAACTTGTCGAGTGAAGTGGTGTCTAAGAGTACTAAGCAATAAGAGTAGGTCGGCCGTAATAAGGGGAATCATAACACGCCTAAAAGCCCATAACTGCTGGTTCGAATTAAAGTATACTACTGTCAGACTGGAATATTAATGGTAACACTAGTAGTAAATTGAACTGACTGAGCAGTATGCCTGAATGAAACTGAATGTGTTATCATGACAAAAATTGTAAACTTTAGCTTCGAGTTTTTAGCATTTAAGCAGTTTAATCACTATCCCAATTAGTCCAATACAGCTCGAAAATTTACATCTATACGCAACGTATAATGAATTGCATGGAAAAACCCAGATCTTGCTCATCAGAGGTGATGTATGAGACACGACTTAGTCATGTGCCGCTAATAAACTATGTAACAATGACATAAAGAAGTAGATGACTTCTGCGACATATTTTTAAACTTAGTTGATAATTCAGAAGTTGTAGATATAGACGAACATCATACGTCGGATAACTGTTTGCTGATAATGTGTAAGAGGCAAAAAAACATGGATTTTTGAGTGCTATCAACCAAAATGTATGTTCGGGATGCTTGAATTAATATGTACCAAATCATCGGACAAAACGTCAAGGTAGCAACAACGGTCGGGATGTATCAGAGTTAAGTAATATTTTATATGTAAATGATAAACATATTGGCTGAACTCAATCACAGTTTAGGTCATACCTGCTAGAATGTATTGAAACTTAAAAGTATGAAAAAAGCAGGGCACGCAAAACTTGGATGTGGACAGTTTCTTGTGAAAAAAAATTATTTCACTTAGTAACGGTGAACGTTGGAAAATTAAACGAGTGATATCCTAAATTACATAAAATTCTAAATAGAAATACAATTCATAATAAATGAAGTGATGTCTAAAATAAAGAGAGAATGTGAAGCAATTACCTTCTGGTTATGTTAATTTTCCAGCATGCATTCTTAATTTATACTGGAATCCAATAATGTTTAGAAAGGAAAGAAATAGAGTATGCTGACACTATGGTGAAAACTATCTACACACTCACAACAGCACAATAAATATCAGGATATCTTCTCATGAAGTAAACTGGATTGCAAAACATGGATTTTACTTCCCTGCATAATCTTGGTGAATTTGATCATTTGCATTCTAGAGTTTCCAAATTAATGCAGCCACTTGCCAACGCTACTAATCCTATCATCTACGTAAATTATACTGGACAAATGGAACTCATACAGCCCATTGGTTTGTATAAGTCTTCAAGCCATAATAATTTTATAAAACTCAACGGAACTACCCATTAAAAACGAGTGAAGCAGGGTCCGAAACTGAAACCTGATGACGACAAATCTAACGACTTTCATTACTACACGGCGTGCAGAAATAACACCTCTTGGTTTATAAATTTACAATCCTTATGTCATTACAATGAATAGCATAAATAATCACAATTTCAAATGTTGAAGAAAAATGCTCTACTTACTTTATATTCTCCAGATCTTATGTGATTGGGTATGGAGGCGAATGAATTGCTTAGAGTGTTTTTGAGAACATAAGGTCCAAGGACACTTGACATAACCGAGCGTTTACCTTCATTATCGTCGAACGGGTCGCCAATAGCTTTCGTATCAACCATATTATTCGATATAGATACTTGAGCTAGGCGATGGGAATCATCTGAGTCTTCTGGGTCCGGTCCATAGATGGTGAATTTGACGGGCAAATGGGAGCAACTTGTGCTTAAATGGGGAGATTTGAAGTTAGAAGCTGTTTCAATAGCGGAATTCAGGAATTGTGTTTCGCTCATTATTCGCTGGTGCAAGACGCTCAGTAAAACGTGAATAGTTGGTTGCAGCTCTTAAATTTCTTGACATAAGATTTATTAGACTTTAAATTCAGGTGAAAAACAAAAACATTCAAGTGGTAAATGGTGATGAATGGATATGCAGCTATGTATAAGCATAACTGAAAACCGTAAAAATTTAAAACCGAGAGCTATTACTAGAGTAATTCGCTTGTTAACTGCAATTTGATTTGTGGATATTATAACACCATTTATAATCATCCTAAGTAACGTAAAGAATGTCAGTAATAAGAAAGTACGAAAACACTAATACGACTAGCAAGTAGTTTGTAGATGTTTTCGGTAATCAATGCAGTCAGTTACATCTAATTGCACAGGAACTATTTCAAGAAGTCTAGAAGGTTTGATATGGCAAAGACCATTCATCTGTAGTCTTCCTTTAAAATGTAAACAAGTTCCTCAGAGCTCATAAGGTCTCCCCAAATCCTATAGACATTTTAGAACATATGTATGCCACAAAGCCTTTTACAAATGCCAAAAAACCTGAGGACACCTTATAGACTTTTACTCACGTGCATATTGTAGTTATATTATAATTGTTTTGTAATTATATATAATTACAAATCATATATGATCGCAAAATAATACCAAGTATCACTTGTCGATACAGTAACCTTAAGGTTATATTGGCTCCACTTTTCAAACTTTGAAGAAGTTCTAATGAAAATTTGGGAGAAATTCTGAGGAAAATGTAACGTCACTCAGTCTTCAAATTATATTACAAGCAATTGAACTATTTACAAGATCTTAAATAGTGCATTTGAGCATTTGTTCCCTGGAAATATCCCGCTACTTTTAAAAAAAACTTGCGAAATAAAGTAGCAAGACAAATGCCTTTCAACTTGTTCAAGTTAAAATCCTCATAATTACCGCTAATAACTATGTACACAGCCTCTCATCTATTGGTTTATTTCAAAGGAGCTACTTTTAGTTTGCCTATGTGTAACGCATTCAAAACCTCAATCAATCAATGAATATTTTCACTAGCAGATTAACTTCATTTCGCTCTTATGTAAATGTTTGTATTTAATGATACTTTTTTTGCTATTGGGCCGCGCACTTAGCGCGAAGCCCAATGACACCGTTAATACCATGATGTATATGTTGTTAACGTAGACCTGTTTTTTCTCAGTCTAACAAAGTTCGGATGGGCTGAAGGAAAAGAAGCAAGATGTCCATGAAACCTACGAAACGAAATGTGAAACTGTATTTTGTGAAAACTTTACTTTTGCAACCCATCACCACGTTACTTGATATTTGAAAATATAACCCATTGGCTGAAATTCCGTATTCTCTCTTCCCAACTATTGACTGCTTGAGGATTGTGTTGGGTTTCAAATCCATTCTGTACTACAGTGAACGACTCTAGTATGTGCTACATTTGGTTGAGATAGGATCCTGCTTACTCATATTCAGACACACGGACTATACAGCAACCCTCATTCTCTGTAACTCACAAGCCGTACATAATGATGTTCATCACATCGCGACCGTCCAACTTCATTTAACTCACCAGCTGGACACAGTTGTCTCAACAACGGCATGCCAATATAGAGCAAGCACTGACGACAGTGCAATTCCATCAGCAAGGCCAGATAATGCATCTAGAACTGTATGCCACTGTAGGGCCAGCGAAATGTCATCTACGTTGGTGATCTACACCACCGACTTCTGATTTCGCCGATCGAAATGTCCTGATCGTTCTCATAGGTTATTTATAATCATAGTCGTTTGCTTTTATTCCTAAATTCAAGTGTAACAGGTGTGCCTATTTAGTCATTGGCTCACTTTTTCTCTCTCTTCTTTCTAGTCATACTTGCTCACGTTTCTGCATACTCTCATTCAGCACCCAACATTCCTTCAGGTTAGACAAAAACCACTGCGTATTTGGCGAGCCTGCCGGAGGTTGAAAGTTACACTAATATTCTTGATTCAAAGAATCTACTATGTTTTGTACACCAGTCTGTCGACAACCACACAAATAAATGCCATGATAAAGTAATACTACGTTAGCTGAAACGCGGTTAGGTGACTTCAGCAACGTAAGAGGAATTAAAGGCAAATTATCAGAGCTCAGGAACATGTTTTCAGTTCTAACTGAAGTCTAGCTCATGGATGTTGAGGTCATAACTCAAGGAATGTAACTATTTGGGTGTGATAACAGGCATAAACAAGTTGTGAAATGGAATTATCCAATGACAGCCGCTTGGATGCTAAGACCCAGCCCAACACATAACCTTTAATGCTAGTTAATATAAACTTATCGAAAGTCTTGTTCGTTACTCATATTTCTCATGATTCCAACTAATTTGTATAATCATTGTTACGGACTACGAGATAGTTGTACAAGTTTGACTCTGGATTTTCTGAGTTTTTTTATTTGCTTGCATAACATATTGATGACCACTCGCAAACACTGCTGTCGAGGTTCTTCTTGTTCTAATACAACCACCTGTCACACATATGAGTCATTAATATGAATACAGTGTACATTTACGTATTTGTTCACGCGCCATATGATTATATCTGAAATATTACTTTAGGCTACATGCTCTATTTAGGACTGGTGATAACACATTACTGCGAACCTAGTGACTTAGCTGAACATGTTGCATTTACCAGCGAAAAATAATATCCAACTTTTTATCGGCGCATTCATATTTTCGTATACAGTTAATTAACTCTACACTCCATCTCATAACTTGTTACAATTTCGGCATTATCAGTTTTTGGTTCTCCTGTAGCGTGGCGTCGAGTTGAGATTAACTGTGAACACCGCTACCAAGAAACACGTGCCAGATAAATCAGAAGGCGAGGGTTGAACGTAACCAGATTTATTTCGTTGGCGATCTCGTGGTATTGAACGAATACCGAGATCGTGCCAAGAAAAGGTACAAGCGAAAGCAGAAGACAGGAGTACGTGCGAACAGTACCAAAAACCGCGGAACAATGATGGAAGGTAATGGAAGCACAAAATGGCTATAATTAGCACAGTTAAACAAAAACACATTAAAACAAACACTGGTACAGTTGGTTATAATAATAATTGTTTTTATTAAACCAGTCGTGTTCTCGTGATAAACGTGAGTCACTACACTCCACAAAATAACCGAGTTCACAGGATCATCTTAGTATTTTTTTCAGCGCAAATAAAATCACATACCGGATCAACGGAATACTCTACATTACAGCAGCTAACAGCACATGAGATTACTGATTTACTTGTCGGTAATTTTTAAATCTACAAAACTGAAGAAACAGTGGGTCATCGACGTAGGTGATCTGTGTCAATGATTAGAGACCAATGAGAGTTCCATGGGAATTATATGCCCTCATAGCCTACATCAAAGTCACACCGCGTCGTCAACATGCAAGGTGGATTACCATTTCTTCATATCCAGGCACTGTGGCAAATTTAATGACTGCATAGGACGAATATAACGGCATTACATAAATGTATTGACAAGAATAAGTATAAGTAACAGAGTGTAAGCACTGTCACACGCGCCCGTCCGCAGTGTGTAATGGATTGATGCGCATCAGGTGAGCTTAACCCTGACGAACGTCAGTAGTCTGTTCGGTATTCACTGACCCAACTGCCGAATGGTTTGGCTACGGCCAATGATATTTTATTGATCCCACAGACCTATCGATCGCAGTTGAAAAGAACATATAAGACTGCAAAAACTGTGGTGAAACTAGCTATTGCAATCATACTATCATTCGTTATAAGTCGGAGACAATAACAACGTAGAATTTTTTGCCAGGTATAGAATATAAAAAAGTGGTCCATCAGCAGAATTGTTTTGCAAATTATCCAGAGGGTAGTAATATGCGTATACTAGAACAGCAAGGCAGTATATAATCTATCGCACCACTTCAGGATATCCAAACACAGAATTCTTGATGTCACTTTGTCTCCTCAAGGTCGCGTGAACTAAAGGGAAGTAATTTTGACCAGAGAGTGACTTTAAACTTATGCCGTCGGACATATCGACTGCTCAAGTTTGAAAATGGACGGTACTTCACCAAGCACACAAATAAACATCCGAACACCAATATGTATTATTGATCATGGCACCGCCATATTCACAGTGATTTCAGATGGACAAAAACTGTTCGATTTATATATAAGTCAATATCACTACAGTTATCCACACTAATGGAATAATATTACGAACTTACCACGATACAGCTCCATAATCTATACGACCTTGGGTTGAAGTCGCATCGTTATCGAGCGATCATATTTATATGAACAAAGCGTGAAAGTTTGACATTAGTTGGCTTTAATTGACCATCATTCCTTATTTATCATGTATTAAAAGCCTAATGTAATTCTTAAAGACCAGTATAAATGATTTGTGTCGTGGTTTAGTATTATTACATAATCATTGCAGATGCCCATAACCGTTACTACATCTCGGAAATTGTACAGCTATTGAGGATCATCTACAAAACTCTCTGTGCCTACAACAGTGGTAGAAGGCAGTAACAGATAACCATTGTGAGATATTGAGGTTTATTTCTCAGGAATTTATTTTGAATAACGATTCCTAAACATAAAATTCACCTGGAAAGAAAGCTTAGCTGATGAGATGCTTACTTTGGGTTAAAAAGAGAGTCTGATAAACTGAAATTTACAGGAATGCATCCCGAACGCGGCCTTCAGCTGGAGCTAAAGATTAATTGCAACACTAGGTTACGAAGAGACGAGAGGTATGTGCGAACCAAGTTAATCGATGAAATCCAAACTATTCAGAAGTGTATGTAAAGGTTCTTTTCTCAACCAAAAGCAACAAGACAAGAGAATTTTTCTGTAAGAGTCTAATAGCAATTTGCCAACCCAGTAAAGGCAGAAATCTTCAATGACTGTTTCATCACACACATAAGGAGGTCGAAGAAACATCTACCCAACTTCTAGGATATTGGTGTGGAAACTGAAATACTAACTGGAAGAAAAGTTACCTCGATATGACAACATTCACCTATAATCGTAAAACAGTGAACAGAGAATATTACTTTATTGAATTGTTGTCTAGTTTGGTATTAGTACACTTATCTTTGTTATCACTATAATAGACCTATTCCCAAAATTGTAGATCTGTCATGACGTGACTACCTAATCTATGAGATCTTTTCGAATAATCCCAGAAACTCAATGAGGTTGAAGAACTGAGCTTCAGTAAAGTTTTCACCTCCAATATATGTATGTTCCACGAAAGTGACTTCAGGTAGATTGAAGTTCCTTAGAATCAGGATACGAGTGAATACGAGACGAGTAGAGAGGGATAATCATTCCATCATACGATTGTCGTACTCGGTTTCAGCTGTGCGCTTCTTGTAGATGACTCTAACTAGACACCTCGTGGTGTTATGCAATCTTACTGAGCACCTTGCAGATTCATCAAGATTGATAAACTCGTGATTGCGCACTTGATGCACTTCCAGGCAGGATCGTAAGTATAAGACTACTCCACCACCGATTCCCGTTTTTCTGTCATTGCAAAACAAAGACATCCTAGGTATTGCTAGCTCCTGGTCCGTAAACTGAGATGTCCAAGTTTCAGATATTTCTATCAGATGAGCATTATTGACACTGTCGAGTTCACGTAGCTCATTTATTCTATTCGGTAAACTCGCAGCGTTCATGTATAAGCAGTTTATACTTTTAATTTGAAACGAGTGAGCTTCCACGTCCTGTTTGTCTGTACGAGCCTTATTTGAATGGACAGGTAGCCTACCTATACAAGGTTTTCCTAGTTGGTTATGCCTGTCCTTTCTACGTGTTTTTATGATTAAGAATGGTCAGCTCCAGCTTGCCTTTGTGCTTGATCCTGACATCATGGGGCCTATCCTCATATGAATTCTAGGTGTCAACCGGCGTCTGTGG